AGGGAGGGAGGGAGGGAGGGAGGAAACAAGATTGTATGTTTGTAACCAGGAGCATAAGGAAGCTGTAGAGTCTTATTTGAGACCACTGAGACATGAGCACTGCTTGGCAGCAAGACCTTCCTGACTGAGAGAGAGGCCTCGCTGCTGACACAGGCCCCAAGTAGCCTGAGTAGGCCTGAGCAGGATCAAGATTTGAACTGTCCCCAGACATGCTACTCACACTGCAGCTTCAATGATGCCCTGAATCTCCTTCTGCAGTTCTGGCTCCTTCTGGTACGCCTTGACCAGCAGCAGGGCCTGGTCATAGTTGGCACAGTAGACTTTATAGACTTGTTCAAACTCCTCTTGGAATTCCAGGAATAAGTTACCTGATGGCCAGCAAGAAGCAGCAAGGGTTATCAGTGGCAAGTGTGTATGTCCCTTACTTGGGGTTGGGAGGTTGAACCTGCTCTGCGATGGTCTGTTTTACTTTTCATCCATTTCATGAAGTTTCTGTGTGAGTAACAGAATGGTGTAGGGTCCAGGTTCTTAAACTGTAGGGCATGACCCCAGGTGTGGCTGGCTGCAGACCTGAGTGTGGGGTCTGGGAAAGTTTGGCAAGAGTAAAAAGTTTCCAAACACAGGGCAACCAGAGATCAGTTCTAAAGCAAACTCATTATGAACCTGAGGAATTTCTGTTCACGTCCACCTGTGTGGCCTCATGACACTTCGCTGCAGCCTTGGTTTTGAACACACACAACATCTGCGCTTTCCTCTGCAGGGGTCCTCAGGATACACAACCCCAGTGAATTCTGCCTGCAATACCTCTCAGATCTGAGACTCCTGGAGGCTATGAAAGGAGCTGCAGCATCTTCTCCTGTACAAAGTTTTCTGCTCTTACAGAAACAGAGTGGTTAAGTTTAGAAAACAAGACTTTTAATATTTTTCTACTATCATTCCATATGTATCAATTTAGTCTATCTTTGGATCACTTTGTGATAGAATACCTGATTTTAGTATTTTCTGCTCCAGAAGGCTGGAGAAATGGCCTAATAGCTCATAGAAATAATTTGCCATTCTGTCAGAGGACGGGTCCTTAGGTCCCAGCACCCATACTGGGTGGCTCACAACCACCTGTAACTCCAGGTCCAGAGAATCTACTGCCCTTTTCTGGCCTCTTAGAGATACATATGATGTATACACACACGGCCAGAAACACATAAATAAAAAATAAAAATAAATAAAATTTACTGCTTGGCTTGAGTTTCATTTTTTAAATGTGGTCAAATTTTGGCTTGGAATTAGGACAGAATTTTCATCATTTTTTTTTTTAAATAAAATGACCCCGTACACTTCTGCAGTATGTGCTACAGATTCAGACAACATAGAATTCTCAACATTAATAATGATCAAGTCAAAATATTGATCAACTCAGAAAAAAACCTGAAGATCCTTTATGTCCTAAAATATCTGATATTCAACCAAAATTTAATTTTTTAGGTAAAGATAAACACATATATCTCACTAGTATGCAAAATTGTTTTCATAATTTTTATTGTTGTTGTTCTTGTATTTAGACAAAAGAGTCTCACTGTGTAGCTCTGGCTGGCCTGCAACTCACTTTTAGACCAGGCTGGCCTCTGCCTCCTGAGTACTGAAATTAAGCTCTTGTGACATGATGCCCTGCTGCCTTCAACTTTAACAAATGTCAAACTTATGAGTATAAAAGACATGTCTTAAAATAAAATTATTTGTGGTTATCAGTAAATGTTGTTTTCTTTTTTTTTCTTTCTTTTTTTTCTTTCTTTCTTTCTTTTTTTTTTTTTTTTTTGTTTGGTTTTTCAAGACAGGGTTTCTCTGTATAGCTCTGGATGCCCTGGAACTCACTCTGTAGACCAGGCTGGCCTTGAACTCAGAAATCCACCTGCCTCTGCCTCCCAAGTGCCAGGATTAAAGGTGTGCATCACCACTGCCCACCGAGTTTCTGGTTTTTCTGGTCCTGGAAGACCAATGCTGTAGACCAAGCTGAGCTCAAACTCAGAGATCTGCCTGCCTTTGCCTTCTGAGTGCTGGGATGTGTGTCATCACTATCTGGCTAAAAAATCACTAGATTTTTTTTATATAGCCATATATTCCACCCCTGAGTTGTGTAAAATTTTCTTAGGTAAAAAGAAGTTGTGAGTGGAGCCAGATACTTGTGTAGGCGGCAGGCTAATAACCTGTGCATGCAGCTTAAGAAGCCCTATATAGACGGCAGGCCAATAAGCTATACAGATCAGTTGAAAATACCTGTGCAAACTGCCTGAGACCAGCACCGCTTCCAGCGATGGATTTTTCAAGTTTGGGGAATATTTGTAAACGTTTAATTAAATCTCTTAGGGCTGGGTCCAAGATGATATATGAATATTTGTAATATTCTATATATACCTCCAACACGGTTCTTGCCCAATTCTGCCCTATTTTATTTTTCTGTCCTATTTTTGGTGGTCTTTTAACTATGACCCAGCATACAATGTTAGGTGTGAAGTTTTCTACCTGTGGTATCATGTCAGCTCTCAAATTTTTCTGGATTTTGGAACATCCATCTAAATAATTGCCTTGTGGTGGCAACAAGCCTTTAATCCCAGCACTCGAGAGGCAGAGACAGGCAAATCTCTGAGTTCAAGGACACCTTGGTCTACAGAGTGAGTTCTAGGACAGTCAGAGCTACACAGAGAAACCCTGTCTTGAAAAAACAAGGGCTGGAGAGATGGCTCAGTGGTTAAGAGCACTGACTGCATTTCCAAAGGTCCTGAGTTCAAATCCCAGCAATCACATGGTGGCTCACAACCATCTGTAATGAGATCTGATGCCCTCTTCTGGTGTGTCTGAAGACAGCTACAGTGTATTCATATATAATAAATAAATAAATCTTAAAAAAAAAAAAGAAAAAACAACAACAAAACAAAATCAACCAAACAAAAACAAAAGACATTGCTTTTGTGCCTGTTGTAGTTTCTATTAATTTCCCTGTAATCAGCAGATTGATCATCCTCACACATTAATGGAATATTAGAAATCTCCATGCAACTTCTATTTAAAATGATGTTTTCATCTTTAAAAAACAAAATCATTCGTCTGCCCTACAGTTACACTGTGTCAAACACTTTTATAAAGAAAAATAGTGTCTGTGTTGAACATGTGAGACCTTTTCTTCCTGTCCCCATCCCTGAACAGCAGCTTAACAACCTTCTATACATTGCTTGCACGGTGATAACTGGCATAAGCCCTCTAGCAATGATTTCAAGTATACTGGGGAGCTTCTAGGGGGATATGCTAATACTATGCCATTTTACACAAAGGGTCTGCTTGAGCACCTGGTGGGGGGGTTGGGTCCTGGAAAACCAGCCTTTGCAGATACCAAGGGATGACTATGTATTACAGGAATCAGAGTAAAGCCAAATAAACATCAAAGACTAGGTGTGGGGCGGGGGAGGTGTCTATTTGAGGAAGGATTTACAGATAATGTGACCATCTGCCAGTGAGCAGAAGTAGCCAGCCCCAGGAAGCCCAGGGGAGGAGTGACTCTCAAGCTTGTGGTTGGTAATGGCAAGGGCCAGAGTCAGGTAACCCTGGCCTGAGGACAGCCACAGACCCTGGTGTGTCTGTGAGCCAGTCACACAGGGGCAGAAACAAATGGGATACTAAAGCCAACTTGCTGAAGGTATCAGCATAAGCGGGGTGCAGCCAGGCACTCAGTTTGTAATCCAATGGTAGCAGGAAGCAGAGGAAGTGGTTTGACCTGGGATCTCATGTCAGCTTAATTTCAAGAGCAAGTACAGTAAAGCTAGAACACACGGAGAAGATGAAACAAACCCTGAGTGGTTTCCTAAAGAGTTCTGTGTCTTCTAATAGGAAACCAGTTACTTACAGGGAGCAGGTGGAACAGGGTGGAAGAATAAAGGAACTAAGGTAGCACTATAGGGAAAAGAGACAAAGAAGACTGGTGCATTAAAAGCAAGGTTTGAGATAATTCTGACTCTCAGTACCATGGTCATTTTTCTATAAACCCGAGACAGTGCTTGGGCTGGAGAGATGGCTCAGCGGTTAAGACCACCTACTGCTCTTCCAGTAGTCCTGAGTTCAATTCCCAGAAACCACATGGTGGCTCACAACCATCTGTAATGGGATCAGTGCCCTCTCCTGGAGTGCCTGAAGACAGCAACAGTTTATTCATATAAAATAAATAATAAATAATTAAAATTTAAAAATAAATCTTAAAAAAAAACTGACAGTGCTCTAAAAAAAAATCTATTAATTAAAAACAAAAGAGAGGCTGGGCAGTGGTGGCGCATGCCTTTAATCCCAGCACTTGAGAGGCAGAGACAGGCAGATTTCTGAATTCGGGGCCAGCCTGGTCTACAGAGTGAGTTCCAGGACAGCCAGGGCTACACAGAGAAACCCTGTCTCAAAAAACCAAAAAAAAAAAAAAAACAAAACAAAAAAACAAAAACAAAAACAAAAGAGAGGCTGGAGAGATGGCTCAGTAGTTAAGAGTACCTACTACTCTTCCAGAGTAGTGGGTTCGAATTCCAACACCCACATGAGAGCTTACAACCATCTGTAACTCCAGTTCCAGGAGACTCAATGCCCCTTTCTGGCCTCCGCAGGCACGAGGCACTCACATGGTCCAGAGACATGCATGCAGGCAAAATATTCATACATATAAAAAGTATATAAATAAATATCAGTACCATGTTGAGGCTAAACTATGGAAGCACTGTGGTTTCAACATTTCCTCCCACGAATGTGTGTTAAAAGCTTGTCTCAAGGAAGACAAGAGTGGGGCCACAGGGATCAGACACTAGATGAGTGCCCTGCTGCCTCTGTCGTGCCCAGACTTCCCCTTTGCCAGTTTCCCCTGGAGCTCTGGAGCCAGTTCTGCAGTAAGCACAGGCTGAGGACAAAGCCGTGGGCAAGCAATCCAGTGAGTACCTGGGTCTGTTTTGCTTACCAATCAGGTGTGCTTGCTCCTCTTCCTTGCAGGCTGTCTCCTGCAGCCCGTGAAGGAACCTGCTGCTCACCTGGATGATGTCATCGATATTTGAGAACAGTATGTCCAGATCTCCTGGTGGCAGCTAGAAGCAACAAAAATGCAGAGACTTGGGGTCTGGAAGGGGACTATCGGGAACAGACCTGGGCACTCATGCTATCTGAGGTCCTATCACTCTTGGGAAGACTGACTGCCCAATTCAATGTTGGAAAAGATTTGGGAATATAGTAAGTTAGATCCCTGAATTGCTTAACAGAGAGAGAGAGAGAGAGAGGAGAGAGAGAGAGAGAGAGAGAGAGAGAGAGAGAGAGAGAGAGAGAGAGAGATCAAGTTCAGCGTGTCCAGCATGGATGGAAAGCTTAAGACCCAGGCCCAGGATGGGGCTAGTTTGTGAATAAGCAAAGGGTTAGTGTTGTGATTTGAAGATGAAATGTTTCCCATAGGCTTGTGTGTTTAAACACTTCTTCTCCAGCTGGTAGCATTATTTGGAAAGGCTATGGAGCCTTCAGGAGGTCAGCCTTGCTGGAAGCAGGGTAATGGAGGTAGGCCTGAAGGTTTTTCAGCCTGCTCCTGCTCCTTCCTTACCTATCCAATAGCTTGATTAATTCAGCACTTGCTGCTCTTACAGAGAACCCAGGTTCCCAGCACCCACCATGGTAGCTCACAACCATCTGTAACTCTGGCTCCTGGGGATCCCACAGGCACATGCAGTTATATAAACATATGCCAGCAAACATTCATACACATAAAAATAAATCTTCAAGGGGCTGGAGAGACGGCTCAGTGGTTATGGTCACTGGCTCCTCTTCCAGAGAATCTAGGTTTACTTCTTAGTACCCACAAGGCAGCTCATAACTCTGTAACTCCAGGTCCAGGGGATCCAACACCCTCACACAGATATACATGTAGGCAAAACACCAATGCATCAAAATAAATAAATAGATAGATTTTTAAAAATAAAAAATAAATCTTCAAAAAAATAACCTTGCAAAATTGAGTTACATAAGAAGGCAACAATGAGCCTAGGCGGTGGTGGCGCACGCCTTTAATCCCGGCACTTGGGAGCCACAGAGGCAGGCGGATCTCTGAGTTCGAGGCCAGCCTGGTCCACAGAGTGAGTTCCAGGACAGCCCAGGCTATACAGAGAAACCTTGTCTTGAAAAACCAAAAAAAAAAAAAAAAAGAAAGAAAAAGAAAAAGAAGGCAACAATGAGATTTTTCATACTATTTTAAGTAAGTTTACTATTTTATGTCAGGCTAAGTTCATAGCTATCCTCAGTCTCTATTGCTAATAGGCTGCAAGTTGGACACAACCAAGTCATTCAAAGTCTTACTGAAAGTTACATGGCCAATCAATAAAAAATAAATATCAATAAATCATCTCATATCTATGATGAGAGGTCTTAGAGGCAGCCCACTCCTACTCCTATAAAGACAGGTTGTGGGGCCACATGAGTACCTGCTGTAGGTGGCTTCTGATGTCAGAGGCACAGAGTCGGAGCGTGTGCAAGTAGGAGACTTCTGTGTTGATGAGCTCTCTGATGGCCAGCCTCTGCTGGAGCAACGATCTGTCCTCAGAGCCTTGGCCTTCCTGCTCAGGACTCTCTGACCTGGAAGAGGCCTCGTCTGCTCCAAGCTCAGCCATGTCCATGGGTTCTGGAAAAAAAAAAGCCATCTCAATTCAATTGTAAGGTAGGTCTCCTCATCCCACCTCCTGGGAAATGCTGCCCCTAACTTGAAGACTACTCATCAAGTGGTCTAAAACATCATGGCTGCAAACAGAGTCAACTGTTTATTTATTAAACAGAGTCAGGCTCTTGTTCTCTTGCTCTCTTGCCTCTATCTTCTCTCTGTCCCCTTGCCTCTGCCCCCTTTCCTCTGGTGTTCTCTCCACGTGGTCATGGCCGGCCTCCACTTCTCTCCTCTCTCTCTCTCTCCTCTTTCTCCGCCGTCTTCTCCCGTTTCTCTCCCACCTTTGCCCTCTGCCCTGAATAAACCCCCCCTTCCCCATGGAACCGTTTGGTCTGGTGTTGTCTGTTCTAAGCTGCACGCCAAAATCTAACAATGGTGCCAAAACCCGGGAACGAAGACTTCGGGAACCTAGAGACCTGTGCAGCCTCCGGGTCTAGCTGCAGCGACCATGCAGGACGGACAGCATGTGGCCTGCCGCAACCCCACTGCCACCACCACACTGCTACACCACATGGACTTCATCTGCTGCTACCTGCCGTCACTGACTGTGTGAATTTCCACCGCTGCTACAAAACTTCCACCACGTGAGCTGTGCTCGGCCCCCATGTGGTGCTCTGCCACGTTGGCTGGGTAGCCAAACATACACAGACCACCCCCCACGTTCCACCTTTCCTGATATCAGACTGCACAAGCTCTCAAACACACACCGGCATATTAATTGGTAAGGAGTTTCTGTTTGGCGGGAGGGACCCTGGACGCTCAGTTAGCACCTGGCCAGTGTTTCCTGGACTAAGGGGTTGGCTCTCCATTGCCCCAGTCCATATGACTGGCCTCTAGCTGAACTACGACTTAGGACATTGGCCCGTTGGGTGATTCCCCTCTTGGAAATAGCTCCCCCCTCTCCCCCCCCCAAGCTCTTGCAGCTGCCTGAAATCTTGGTACCAGGTGGGCTATTTCCTGGTGGACTAGTTTCTGGTAGACTAGCTCTGCAGAGGTCCCTAGATATTCTCGTGACGACCTGATTATCTAGGCTGAGCCTGATTTTCATTGCCAGCTTTTCTTTCAGGACGCAGACTGATAGCTGGGTAACAGCCACGTCACCCAGTGGGTATCACATTGTCTTCAACTGTACCCACAAACACCCCACTGGGTTGTCTACTGAAAAACCTCAAATCTCTAAAATTAATTATTGAGGCCTTCCAAATTGATACACCTCTGCAATAAGGTCTGGATTTGATACCCTCTAGATAATGGACTAAAGTGGCCACTTAATGGCATGCTAGACCCAACTATTTTAAGGGGTCTTAACACATACTTCCAGCAGTCTGGTAAATGGAAACAAGTCCCCTATGTTCAAACATTTATCTACCTTCATTATACTCCTTCCATGTGTTCTGCCTGTCCCCCACCCCAGGTTCTCTTAGCCATGAAACCTGCTCAACCCCACACCTCTTTCTAATTTTTCTTTTTTAATTAAACCAAAACGAGGGAATTGCTGAGATTCTAGCAGATGTCTGCAGGTTTACATCAGACCAGCTAGATTTGCTTCCCCATGTGCACAACCACCCACACAAAGGGCTTGGCTACCTGAGCATTCGAGGGAGGCGTTCCCTCTCCCTCTCTGCCCAGGACCTGTAAAGTGGGTGTTAACAGTGCCTTCTGCTACAGAGACAACTAACATGAACGTTGCTGTGATATGGGACATGCTTGCTTTTCCTTGCCCACTGCAAACTCTAGCCACCAGAGACATTGGACAGTGACTTCCAGCCACTAGCAGGAAGTCCTGCCCTGCTGCTGCTGCCACCCACCCTCCCCCTCCCCGCCAGCCATATGATCCAGCTTTCTCATTCTGCTCCTAGCCAAATGTTTCTTTGCTAATACAAAAATGTGCTTTTCTCTACCTACACAACCCGCCAAAGTTATTTAAGACAGGATAGAAAGGCTCTGTCTTGATAGATTTTTACTACTGCTATTATTCTATTCAGTTACAACTAATCCTTATGGCTCTCAATCTTGTCAGAAGTCTGCTGATAGTATTTTTAAGCTTATGGCCGACAGAATTCCCAAAGCCTCTAACAGTTAACCCAAGATGGTTTCAGAAGATGGACATCTGACTCCTAGAAGATACAGCCTGGATTATATGCGATGAAATAGTCACTAACAAATGCAGTGGGCTAAACTGTATGCCCTGAGTCAAATGACTTGGCTAAACCAAGGTAAGTCATTTCTCATGTCACGTGTATCCATTCCACAGAAAAAGCCCTGCATCTTCTGCGCTTGGAAGCCAAACTGACCCAAGAGACTATGGAAACCATGGGAACTGTTGGCTAGTGGACTCTGTCACTTTTTAAAATAATATATAACTGGTAGATTATTGTTTACTCTTTCTCAGACTTCTGACTACATTGACAGCTAAGTTTTCACAGATTATCTCTTACCTCATTACCTAAACTCAGTTGCCATCAATTAAATGTTTCACATTTCCTCTTCTTGCTATGAGTCTGTCCTAATATTATCTGACTTCCTATAAACTTGCCTAACTCTAATAAAACATTCCACTATACGTTCCAGCAAAGGTTTATCTTAAAGACTGCTTGTATTTTTAACTCATGCTGTCATCTCTTTTGTAAACTTATAAGCTACAGGAAACCGACTCAGATCTACCTCTCATGAACCAAATTGACGCCATTCAGATCTTGTCAAGTCCAGGCACATCCAAAACAGCTCCAGAGAAGCAACATCCAGATGCTCCATCTCCTGTCACACACACAGCTGCTTCTACTGGACCTGTTCCTTCTGACCTATCCTCAGATGCCTCGCTCCACAGACCCTGGACAGCAGGAAACAGCTAAGTCTCCTAAGACTGGACAAACATCCTCCATACCCATTCTTCTAGGTTTCCCCTAAAGACACCTAGCCCCCAATGCCAGCAGGAAGTAGCCAGATATCACGACGACCCTATTCCTACTTCGCCGTCACCTCTTTCTAATTTTTCTTTTTTAATTAAACCAAAACAGGGGAATGTTAGTATCCTGTCTAAACTTCACCTCCACAGTTATCTGGCAACACCCAGGTATGCTCCTCCCCACAGTTACCTGGCAACAGCCAGGTAGGCCTGCCCACTATAAAAGGGGCTGCTTGCCTCCTCCTCTCTCTCTCTTGTTTTCTTATTCTCTTGCCTCTAGCTTCTCTCTGTCCCCTCGCCTCTCCCCACTTCCTTTCCCCCTCTCTCCATGTGGTCATGGCCGGCGGCCTCCACTTCTCTCCTCTCTCTCTCCTCTTTCTCCGCCATCTTCTCCCGTTTCTCTCCCACCTTTGCTCTCTGCCCTGAATAAACCCCCTTCCCCGTGTGTGTGTGGGGGGGGGGGAACAGAGTCAGTAAACTGTTGGCATTTGTGGGTAGTGTCTGAACAATACGAGAGGACAAACAACAGCCAGCTCAGGTTGTTGCTGACATTGGAAATTCATTTCCAAAGGGCTGCCTCTGCCTTGAGGCGCTGGTCAGCTGGTGCCACTACAATGATGGAGGGTGGAAAAGACAGAAAAACCATAGCATGTGCTTATGGAGAGAGGTGGAACTGGAGATGTGATTGGTAGTGACAGATGAGAGAGAACGCTGAGGTTGACATGCTGTCATTGCCCAGCAGGGTTGGTGGGATGATATACAATAGCCTGGTGCCTAAGCAGACTTAGCCCCAAGACCCGCTTCCCAGCTGTAGGATCCACCTAGCTCTGGGCAATGACAGAGGCCCAAGATGAGGAAAAATTCACTTTCTGGATCGGACCTCCTCGAAGGACCACCATGGTCCTTGATGTCACTGGAAGCCAAGTTGGTCTATGTGGTCTGTGGTCTATGCTGCTGCCCCAGGCGGAATAAAACTTGAGATCCATGTAGACATAACAAGTGCGAGCATCTCTGCCACTGCCTGATGCCTTGGTAATGTCTTAAGGCTTTGCCGCCTGGGGGATTGGAGGGAGATCCTGATGTGAGTGGCATGTGTAGCCACCTGAGGCCATGTTTGAGGCCCGTGGTCTCTGCAGCCATTGAGGGCCATGAGTGGGTTGGTGGTCCTACAGCCAAGGGTTGTCTTGATGCCTGTGGCCTGTGTTACCACCGATAATGTTGATGCATGCGGGAGAACTGTCCCTGCCCCTCTCCAGCCACCGCATGGCTTTCCTAAGTTGATGGCTTCTGGAGAGGATGCAAGTGAGAACAAAAAAAGAATCATCCTCCCTTGGGGGCAGGGGACTGGCCACTAAGACTATGACATGCTCTGGTGAGTATATAGACTACACAAAATGAACTTGTTTTTTCTTTCTTTCTTTCCCTTCTTTTTTTTGGGGGGGTGAGGAGGGGGGGAAGAATGGACATGAGAAAACTGGGAGGTAAGCACTATTGGGGTGCATGAGGTGAGAGTCCCAAATAATCAATAAAAAATAATTTAAAAAATTTATTTCTCAGAACTCAATGCACTTTCCTAAAATTGCTCTTAGTTTTTTTTCCAAAGTTTGATTCAGAGTCATTCAGGCATTCATCCATTCATTCACTCACTCATTTATTTTAAGAATACGTTATGCTGGGGGGCTGGAGAGAGGGCTCAGAGCACTGACTGTTGTTCCAGAGGTCCTGAGTTCAATTCCCTGCAACCACATGGTGGCACACAGCCATCTGTAATGTGGTCTGGTGCCTTCTTCTGGTGTATTTGGTGTGTCAGTGACCACATACATACATACATACATACACACACATACACACACGCATACATCTTTAAAAAAAAAGACTTTATCCTGGGCTCATGTGGCCATGTCCATGTAGATATATTCTGATCACATTTCCTCCCCATAAACAGCAACCCTTCCCTCTGGTGTCATCCCCATTGTACCTATATGAAACCTAAGTCCACAAGTGAGTGAAAACCTGTGATAGTATGTTCCTGTGACATGCTCACCATGATAGCCACTGG